CAACGGGGCCATCAAGGGCGACCTCCTCGAGCACTTCCGAAACGCCCACGGGCTCTTCGTGGCCAAGCCGGGGCTCCCGGACGCGCTGGCCCCCGGTGCCAGCAGGACGCCCGAGCCCCCGCTGCCCGCCGCGTCCCCTCCTCGTCCCCCCCGCCTCCGCCGGGACAGCCTCACCGCCAAGGAGGGCAGGGACAGCCCCCGGCCCCCCGGCTCCCCCCGGGCCCCCGCCTCGCCCGGAGCCCCCGAGGGACTGCGGGAAGCCGCCCGCAAGCCCCCCACGCCCCCCGCCTACACGGACAGGGGGGTGCAGACCCCCCCGGCCAAGGCTGTGCCCGGCCCGGTGCCCAACGGCAACCACAGGTACTGTCGCCTCTGCAACATCAAGTTCAGCAGCCTGTCCACATTCATCGCCCACAAGAAGTATTACTGCTCCTCCCACGCCGCCGAGCACGTCAAGTAACCCCCCCCAGAGCCCCCCACCACCGCGCGGGGGGCTGCAGGGGCTGGGGGATGGAACCGGTGCCTGACACCCACCCCGTGCAGGGGTTGGGGTGATGGAGGATCCCCCCAGGAGGCTCCACCGGGGCAGCTTCAGCATCTGGAGCCCCAAAGTTCACCCGGGTTGGGGGTGAGGACACTGGAGGTGGGGGGTCAGCCCCCACCTGTGCCCCTGAGGGAAACTGAGGCAGGAGGACTGTGCATGGCCCTGCCCTGGGGGCTGCAGGGGGCTTCTCCCCGTAAACACTACGGGGCTGGGGTGGGGGTGTGGGGGGCACGGGCGTGGCCCCGGCACCCCAGGAAATCTGGGGGTGCCCCCACCTCAGAGCGGACCCTGCACGGAGGCAGCCCTGGGAGGAGGATGGAGCTGCCCTGGGAACTGTGTGTATAAGTGTGTACAGAAATAAATATGTCTGCTAAACTCCTGTGTGGGGTGGGGGACACTGCGGGGGCTGGCGTGGCCACCGGCTCCCCCAGGGGCCGGGCTATGGGGACATCGGGTGTGTACAGCCAGGGGTGACACAGGGGGAGGGCATGATGTCCCCACGCTGTCCCCAGTGCCCCCGGGTGGCACCTTCAGCAGCCTGGGGAGGTCACACATCTGTGCCATGGGGCAAAGTCCTGCTCCCAGATGGGGCTCAGCTGGTGCTGATGGCTCATTAATTATCAAGGTAATTAAGCCCCACAGCGCTGGGTGGGGCTCACCCAGCCACAGGAGCAGTCCCTGCGCTGCAGCTCCAGACCCTGCCGTGGGTGCCCAGGTGAGTGTGACTCAGGTCAGGTGTCCCCCACAGGGTGACAGGGGAGGATGGCCCTAAGGACCCTCAGGGCATGGCTTCTCACCTCCCCACAGCTCATCCCAGTATTCCCAGTCCAGCACAGGCGGGCAGTGGGTTGTTCCCGTCCCTCCCACCCTCTCTGGCAGGGGTGCTGCTTCAGGATCTTTCTGGGAACGCTTGGGGACAGTCCCCAAGGGCCAGGTCACTGGAGCCCAGTGCCCCCAGCTCTGTTTGTTTCCCAGCTGGTATCCCTGGAGCTGCTGGGCCCTTGGGATGCCCCTGGACCCAGCCAGGCCAGCACCAGCACCCGGGGTTGTGCAAGGATGGGGTGGGCACAGGGACTGCCCCTGCCCAGGGCTGTCAATGGGGCTGGGGACCCCAGGGACCAGAACACCCCCTCGTGTCCCTCTGTGCCAGCCCTGCACAGTCAGGGGCACAAGGAGCAGGGAGATCTTTCATCCCTTTAAAGGGAGCAAGGACAGGCACAGTGCCAGGTGCCACAGGCCAGGGGTTTGGGGTTGGCCCCATCGCTGTTGTGGGTGTCTGCAGTGCCAGGGCAGCCTCGGCTCTGTGCCAGGGGGTGGGAGCCAAGCTCTGGTGCCAGGGAGGAGGAGGATGAAGGCAGCAGCTCCCCTGGGGAAGCGCTTGCGACAGGTTCCCTCCTCGCACCTCTTACACCACCAGCTCCGGGTGCCAAGCAGCGCAAGGGCTGAGTGTCCTGGGTGTCCCCCCCCTCAAAGACAACACAAAACACAGCTGAATTCAGGAGGACTTTACTTAAATAAATATATTTACAGAGCAGCAGCGATTCCAGAGCAGATTTGGCCACACTCAGCCAGCGGAGTGCAAGGACAGGCTGTGCCAGGCACGGTGGCAGCCTCTGCCCAGGCATTGACCTAGCAAGGTGCTGGGACCCCCGAGGGTTGGGGGGACAGCGGAGGGGACAGGCCAGGCCAGCCAGCCTCACTGTGACATCTTCTTGTAGGGCAGGGCGGGGAGGCTGCAGGGCAGGAGGTTCTGAAGGGGCAGCAGGCTCTTCTCCTCTTCCTTCTGCTCCTCCTCGGTGTCATCCAGGAGCTGCTGCATGTAGCACGAGGTGCCCAGCAGGACGTGGCCCGTGGCCTGCATGGTGAACAGCGCCCAGCGCAGGGCTTCCCTGGGCAGGGAGAAAGGAGTCAGCGTGCCACAGGAGGGCTGAGCAGTGTCCCTGTCCCCAGTGTCCCCAGCCCCCCACACTCACTTCACCAGGCGCCGGGCCCCGTAGCAGCGCAGGTCGTAGGACATGCTGTAGGTGCCATACAGGGTGGCTTTGACGTTGAGGCAGCCCAGGTCCTTCGGGTGGGTCTTGTACAGGTCGAAGGTGACGCAGGCGACATCGATCCTGCGCGGGGGCTTGCGGGACAGGCTCATCTGGTAGCCACGTGTCTGTGGAAGAGCAGCACCACGGTCACCCACTGCACCCCACCCTCCCAATCCCAAACCTCCAGCGTGGCACAGCCGGGACAAACCAGCCTCTCAGGGGTCCCCTCACCTTGGGGGCAGTCCAGGTCTGCCCTTTGCTCAGGGCCATCAGGGCTGTGCCCTCCTCCAGGGTCCGGAAAAAGGACTCGGTCTCCACGGCCGTGCCGTCCTCATCCAGCACCAGCACGATGGGCATGGGCAGGGCCAGGGCGCTCTGGGCCTGCGGAGGGGCTGGGGGTCAGCAGGGCTGGGGACAGGCCCTGGACGGGCAGACAGAGCCCAGACAGACAGACAGAGCCCAGACAGACAGACAGACCTGGCGCAGGAGCTCGGTGAGGTTCGGGGCCATGACGCCCTTGCGCAGGCTGCGGTCCCAGTTGCACACGCGGTAGGGCCGGGGTGGCGGGGCCGGACCCGCCAGCAGCTGCTGGGTCATGGAGGCGCTGGCCGAGACACATCTGGGGAAGGGACACGGGGATTGGGGTGTTCTGAGAGCCAGCAGGACCCCCTGGCAGCGCCAGCGCCCAGGGAGGGCTCTGGGGGATGTCCCCCATGCTGGGGACAGCGGCTCCACGGCACTTACTTGGACACGGGGGCAGCCAGGCGCTGGCTCAGGGATTTGGCGTAGTCCATCTTCCAAGGAATACGGAGCAGCCTGCGGGGAGGAAGGACAGAGGTTCCCGTCAGCTCCAGATCTGTTCCCACCAGCACGTCCAACTCCGCTCCAGGGGTTCTTCCGCTGCTTTCAGCTCCTGTCTGCTCCAGGAGATCTCCCCACTGCAATCCCAGTGACAGAATTGAGCCTGAGCTCTGTCACCGCTGCCTTTACAGGGGCTGGTCCTGCCCTTTGGCCAGGGCCAGGCCAGCGGTGGCTGCCCGGCCAGAGTCCCCTGCCAGCGGGGCTCTTGCGTAAAGGGACACGTGGGAGCCTGAGTCAGCGCTGGAGCAAAGGTGAGACACCGGCCCTGGGCTCCGGGAAACCGGGAGAGGACAACCGGGGCTTTGGGGTCAGGGACACCCATGGGAGCGCCCCCAGCCCTGCTGCTCCTGGGGCATCTCCAGCCAGGAGCCCCATGGGGGTCCAGTGGAGCTCCCATCCCCTCACCTCCGGGGAACAGCAGCTCCTCTGCCGAGGATCAAGCCCGTCCGCCTCACCTGCCCTTATGTACCTGTCACACAGGCTCCTCCCCGGGCGCGCCCTCCTGCCCGGCCGGGCCCAATGGGGTCGGCTCCGGCTGAGGGGGGAAAGGGAGCCGGGCAGGGACCGGGAGCCGGGCGGCTCCGGCTGAGGGATCACCGGGAGCCGGGCAGCTCCTGAGGGAGCACCGGGCGGCCCCGGCTGGGGAAGGGCAGGCTGACAGGGATGCCATCAATCCGTGCAATGTTTCCATGGTGTCCCAGGACGGTGCCAGACCGTTCCCAGTGGTGTCCAGCCGCAGGAAGAGCAGCAGTGGCCGGGAACCAAACCACGAGAAGTTCCCTCTCAACGCGAGGGAGAGCCTGTGCCCAGGGAGGGTGGCAGAGCCCTGGCACGGCTGCCCAAGGGTGTGGGGTCTCCTGTCTGGAGCCATCCCAAACCCAGCTGGACGTGTCCCTGTGTCACCTGCCCCAGGTGTCCCTGCCAGAGCTCCCTTCCACCCCAAGCATTCCCCGTAGATCCTGCGGCACGCGGGTGCCCCGTCCTCGGGCACATCTGGAACCTGCACCTCCCTGCCCCTCCACGTGCACGCCTGCACACAGCCCCTGTTCAGGTGTTCGCGCGTTCACGCGTCCACCTGTGCGCGCACACCTGCGCTCCGCCTTTGCCGTGCGCGGCCCCTTTAAGACGGGAGCGGGGAGCAGAGCGCGCGCTCCCCCCCCCACGCCTCGCGCCGCCGGGGGCGCGTCGCGCGCTGATGACGTCACGCCATGGCCGCCTTGCGCCGCCGCGAGTAGAGGCCGCTCCGCCGCCCCGTCCCGCGCTGCCGCCGCCGCCCCACCTCGGCACCGGAGAGGGGGGGACAGGGGCAGCCCCGGGGAGCGGCACGGGGAGGGCGGCGGGGAGAGGAGGGGAGGGCCCGGCGGTGTTCTGAGGGGGGTCCGGGGGAGGCCGGAGGGCGTTCGGGGACGGGAGGGCGCGGAAATGAATGAATTCCCCGGTTCGTCCGGGACAATGAATGGGAAGGGGCGGCCCCGGCCTCGGGGGGAGCCGGAGGGCTGGAGGGTGTCGGGGGGACGGCAGGGCTCGGCAGGGGCCAGAGGGGTGCAGGTGGCTGTGACTGTCCCCCTCGGCAGGCAGTGGGAACAGGGACAGCGCCAGCAGCCGCGGCCCGGGGGCACAGCAGGAGAGCCCCGCCTGGCAGGAGAGCCTCGGAGGTGAGGGGACACCGCGGGGACGCGCACTGGGCTTGGTTTGTCACCCGTGGGGTCAGTCCTGAGGTGGGCTTGGGGTTTGTGACCCATGGGGTCTGTTCTGAATGGGTTTGGGGTTCGTCACCTGCAGGGTCAGCCCTCAGGTGGGTTTGGGGTTTGCCACCTGCAGAGTCAGTTCTGGGGTGAGTCTGGGGTTTGCCACCTGCAGAGTCAGTTTTCAGGTGGGTTGGGGTTTGTCACTCATGGGGGCAGTTCTGGGGTGAGTTTGGGGTCCGTCACCTCTGGGATCAGCCCTCAGGTGGGTTTGGGGCCCATCACCTGCAGGGTCAGCCCTCAGGTGGGTTTGGGGCCCATCACCTGCAGGGTCAGCCCTCAGGTGGGTTTGGGGCCCATCACCTGCAGGGTCAGCCCTCAGGTGGGTTTGGGGTTTGTCACTCAGAGTTTGGGGTCCATCACCTGCAGGGTGGGCCCTCAGGTGAGTCTCCTCAGAGCTGCAGCAAGGACAGCACCTCCAGGCTGTGAATTCTCTCTTCCTAAGGTTTGCCTGGATCCAGGGAGAGGGTCCCAGTTTATCAGGACAGCTCTTTGCCAAACTGCTGATCCAAAATCAGTCTTTTGAGTGGGATTATCCCAAATCCTGCTGGATCCAGGTATGACCCTGCTGCTTGTCTCTTCCTGAGGCCCTGAGAGCTCACACTCAGAGCTGGGGCAGAGCTGCAGGAGGGAGCTGCAGGAACATCAGCTGTGCTGGGAAAACAAACTGCAGCTGCTTTTCCCTTCAGGTGCCCACCACAAATCCCTGGGGAGCATTCCTCACTGGAGCTCTCCGAGCTCTGCTTCAAAGCCAGCTCCTGGAAATGCCTCTGAGCACCAAACTGACCCCTCAGGGCAGCTGAGCTTGGGTGCCCTGAGAGCTGCAGAGTTCCCTGGGCATCCTGCACCTCAGAGCTCCCCGAGGATGGCAGAGAAATGAGGATTGGGGTTAATTAACCCTGTCAGCAGCTGGAATTGCAGCCAGGGCAGGGCTGCACACGGGTTCATCCTCTCGGTGTTCCGTGTTTCCCCTCTCCTGGATCCTGAGGAATTGATTCCCTGCTGTCACTGCTCTTCCATGTTTTTCCCCGTGTTGGTTCCTGCCCTTGGTGTGTGCTTTGCCTCTGCCTCTGCAGCTCTCTGTGCCCTGGATCTGTGTGTGCTGCCCTTGTCTGCTCACCTGTGCTGTCAGCACTGTTCCCTGTGCTCGGCTCCCTCGTGGGTCCTGCCTGCCCTGCCACCCTCCAGGGCTGTGCTGCTCTGCTTCAGCCCCTGGGTTCCATGGGCCTGCTTCACAGCAAGTGCATTTTATCCTTTTATCCCAAAGATTTCAGCCTGAAGGAAAAAGCTTCCTCTCTTTTTCCCTTCCCTTTGTCCTGTGGCCTCCCCCAGGGCTGCCAGGGGGACGGAAATTGGGAATGCACTTGGTTCTTCATATCCGTGAAAATTTGTAGGATTTTAAGGCTCAAACTGATGGCTCTGCCCAGCTCCAGGTTTCTGTAGGAACTCATTTCCTGCCTGGAATTTCTTCCTTTTTAATTTTGCACTTTTTGTGCTGTTTAATTGACAACAGAGAAGAAATTGTGCCTGATTTTGATTTTTGGGTAAAAATTCCTGCTCTGACTCCTCTGGCCTTGTAAAAATCAACTGACAAAACTGTGAGGTTCATTTATTTTATTTTATATAAAATAAATTTTATTTATTTTATATAAAATGGACTGATTTTATTTAAAAATGTATCCTGGCAAGGTGGAAGTGGAATTTTAAAAGCAACTTAAGTAGCAGTTGTAACTTTTCTCTGCCTGCCTTTAGTGCTGTGCAAGGCTGCTTAATCCCAGTGCTTTAAGTTCAAAAATCCTGGATGTTATTAAGCTTTGATAAAAATATCTTATAAAGGAAGTGAAGTAGCTGAGTTTAAATTTCTGTAGCATGTCCACAAATTTCTCCTCCCCTTTTTAGGGGGGAAATGTGTAATTTGAAATGTTTCTAAGGAGGCTGGAGGCTTTAGTAGGAACAAATTGGCTCCTTCCTGGTGCACCCAGGCACAGTGAGGATGGCCAGGTGGGAGGAGCATCTCTGCCCCTCCTTGTGCAAACCATGGGACTCTGATAAATTCAGGAGCAGTTCATCCTTCATTCCCTAATTTGAGATATTCCAGAGACTAATTTGAGAAACTTCCAAGTCACTGATGTGTTGTGGAACTAAAAGCTCCTCACTCCTGGGAAGTTCTGCTGCCACATCCTCAATTTCTTCCCTGAGAAGCTGTGACCTGCTTTGAAGAGGCTTTCAGCTCACTGAGCTGTGCCCAAATCATTCCAAAAGCAGGGAAAACCCTCTTTTTTTTTGCCTGAAAATGCCCCTTATTGATTGCATTTGCTCCCTGTGGCAAGGCTGGCCCAGCTGGTGAAGCCTGGGAGCAGGAGAGGTTTGTGAGCCTGGATGGAATTCCCAGTGCCCTGTGCTGCTCCAGGCTGCCTCAGACACTCAGGAAAGGAATTTTTGACACACTTTGAGCAGAAGGAGCTGGTTTTGGAACAGAAATAGTTGTGCAGCTGGGACCAAAGGCAGCTTTGGCTGAATTTTCAAGATTTTTCAAGATAAAAGGCTGCTCAGTGAGAGGCATTAATACTTCCCTGCCTCTTGCCTGAGCTGCAAGTCAAACAAGCTTATCTGGGGCTTAGGAGAGTTAATTTTTTGCTTTTATAAATGGTTTTGAACTAGGAAGAAACTGGCTAAGTTTTAAGGTACAAAAAAGGGCCAAGTTCATGATGAGGGAGGGATGAAACCTGGGGGTTCCTGCTCTGCCACTTCTGTCACTGCTGCTTGATTTAAAATACTTCCATGGAGTCCATTTTTCTCAGGTTTTTGTGATTTTTGTCTTTATGTTTCCCTAAAGGACAGAAAAAAGCAATTTAAAAAACCCCAAATATACAAAAACCCCAAACAACCCCTAAAAAACACCTCAAAAAGCCCCAAAAACCTTTCAGGATTTCAGAGATCTGGGATAAATTGTGAGTAAAAAACTTCCTCAGTTAAACCTCTCACAATTCGAGAGGCTTGGGATAAATTGTGATTTGCAGTTTAAAAACCATCTCAAAAAAAAAAAAAGGGGGAAAAAAACCCAAACAAAAAACCCTTGCAGAGTTCCAAAGATTTTGAATTAATTGATTTGCAGATTATTTTAAGACAACACTTAATAATGGAATTAAACTTGCTGTCCTGTTCCATCATCAGGCAGTTTTCCTTTTAATTTCCAACTCCCATTTTTTTTCCTGCTGCTGATTTTACCTTTGGACATCTGGGCTTTGTTTTGGGACATTTCCATGCAGGGTAAGATTGCTGCCAAAATCTGCTTTGTTGGTTTTGGGGAATCTTGGAGCAGCAACCCAATCCCTGAATCCAAGGAATTACACCCCAAAAAACCTTCCCTGCCTGGGTTTTGTGAGCCTTTCTCACTTGGGCCATCATTTATTGTGTTTCTTATCATTTCTACTGATGGAAATTAATAGGAAATTATTACAACTGCTGGATGCTCTGGATTTTATAAAAGCTGCTGTGCAGGTCAGTGTTTTGTATTTCAATGTTTTATATTCCTCGCCATCAGAACATATTTGTTTCCTCCCATCCCTCTAAAGGTCTCCATGTCAAACACAAAAAGCCATTTGCTTCACTTAAATGCCTTTTTTTTTTTTAATTTTTTTTGCTGCTGCTTATTTGCAAGAAAACAGAAAACAAATTTCCTGAGTCCACGTGGCCCTGGCAGATTTGATATTTCTGGTGGCCTCTCTGGGCTGACCTTTGTGTTCACACAGAGTCACTTCTCAGGCACTTGGGCAATTAAAATCCCCACTCTGAAGTGGCTCTTAAAGCCAATAATGATTTGTGCAGGAATTTATGAGCTCAGCATGAGGCTTGATGTGCTCAATAAGGAGATCATTTGTTCAGCTCCATCCTAGGGAACTCAGAGCTGTTGTCACCAGTGGGCAACTTCTGGATTTTCATTTGGGTTTGACCTTGTCAGGGAAATCAGAACTTTGCTGGTGAGTCAGAACCAGCTTCAGTGTGCAGAGGAAGAGGAGAAGCTGGGAGGAAGCTCAAAATGTGGATTTTCTGCTGCTCTGGGCCCTGCTGATTTGAGATCATCCCGTGTTTATCAATTAACTGATAGCAGCAGGGCCCTGAGGGCTTGGGAGAGCTCAGTCAGCCCTAAAATACAGCTTAAGGTGCTTCTGGGAGTGGTTTGAATTTATTTTCTGGTTTTAACTCCTCTGCAGACCTCCCACAGTATAAGGAGCAGCATTTTCTGGAGTGGGACTTTGATCTTGGGAGTTTGCAGCAAATTCTGTTCATTACCAGAAGATTTTGGGGGTTCAGGTGCTGGGAAGGCTCAGTTTGCTTTACTTGGGGCAGTTTTTGGTGGGTCTGTTTGGCTTTTTGATTGGAAATCACCTTTCCTGTGCAAAACCAGTTGGACAAACAGGGAAAAGTGTCAGGAAAAGGTGAAATAAATAGCAGCTTAATAAAAGATTAGTAAACTCTGATTTTGTGATGGATTGGGTGTGTTTAAAGGAGCAACCAGAGTCTGACATTTGTAGCATTTCTGCTCCGAGGGTTTTAAAAATGACAGGTGAAACTCTGCTCATTTATGCCATGGATGTGTGGCAGCAATAAATGAACTTGCAGAGCAGCTGGAGTAAAACATGGGACACGTTAAAATGAAGATAATTTGTAATTCTCTGGCTTTCTTTAAGGGTATTTAGAGCTTTTATGTGGATGTGACCCGGTCAGCTCAGCCAGTTCCAGTCAGGCACTTCTTTAATTTATGGGATTTTTGTTTCTGGAGTAAAAGAAATTAATGTATGGCCCAGGTTTTTTCCCTGCTTTGCACCCTGCCCTTTTCTGTTGTATTTCTTGGCTTTATTCTCAGCAGACATAGGATTTTGAACTTCTACCAAGCACATTTTTAGACATCTTCTAGGAAGGTCTCAGTTCAGGCAGCTGGATCTGCTGCTTCGAAGGAATTTTGGGGCCTTTACTGAGGGTTCTGCCTGGGATGGGGTTTGGAGCCACCTGGGACAGTGGGAGGTGTCCCTGCTGGTGGGGTGGGATGAGATCTTTATGATCCCTTCCAACCCAAACCAGTCTGGGACTCCGTGAAATTCCAACCTCAAGCTCTGTCACTGTCTGTGAAGGGCAGCACACTCCAGTCTGGGGCAATATTTGGATCAGTTCTTTGTGCAGTTTAAACTCTGCATTTCCCTCTTGAGGGATCTATGAGGAACCATATTCCTGAACTTATGGCATCCCAGAGTGGTTTGGGGTGGAGGGGACCTTAAAGCTCCTGTCCCTCCAAACCTCTGCCACGGGCAGGGCTGCCCTTCCCTGGGCTGGGTTCCTCAGGGCCCCATCCAGCCTGGCTTCCAGGAGCCCCCAGAGCCTTTCCTTAGGAAGCAAAGCACAGGAGGAGGAGTCCCTGAGGGTGAGGTTTCCCTGCCTGCCCAGTTTGCTGCCATAACCAGAGCTGTTCTCTGCCCTGCAGACTCGCCGGGACTGATGGACGTTTCCGACAGCCCGGAGCCAAACCCCTGCTCTCCTGAGGAAGAGGACCAGCAGCTTTCTGATGAGGAGGTCCTGAAGGAGAGCGGCTCAGAGCGGGAACTCGATGGGGAGGGTGGCCAGGGGAGCCTCCTGGGCGAGGAGGAGGAGGCAGGCAGGGCCCTGAGCCGGGGGGAGGAGGAGAACCACTCCGACGAGGAGGATCGGCTGAGCGAGACCAAGTCGCAGGAATCTGACACCAACGAGCAGGGCGTGGAGCTGAAGAGCCCCCAGCCCCACAAGGGGGAGGAGGAAGACAGGACAAACGACCTGGAAGTGTCCTCTGTCACCAGGGAGCTGGATGAGCACGAGCTGGACTATGATGAGGAGGTTCCTGAGGAACCCAGTGCTGCTGCTGCAGAGGAGGACGGGGAGAAAGCTGCTGGGGAGGATGATGAGGAAGAGGAGAAAGGAGATGATGCCCCTGAAGATGAGAAGAAATCCAGCAGCAAAAGTGATGATGAGAAGGATGGGCAGGATCCCCTCAAGGAGAAGAAGAAAGAAGAGGATGATGGGGAAATTGATGATGGAGAAATCGATGTAAGTAGGATGTGGGCAGAGCCCTGGGGCGGTTCAGAGCTGCTTGCTGCTCCCACTGCAATTCCTTCCTCCTCCTGGTGGGAATGTCCGTGTCCCTGGTGTGCAGGGAACCCTCTTCCCTGGAGGTAAGGCCAGAGCATGGAGCAGGCCCTGATCTCAAGGGTTGCCCTGTGCTGAACCAAATCTTTGTGCCAGAGAGCTTTGTTCCCTCTCACTGTGGGGAGGCTCCAGTGCTGTGAGAAACTGCCCTGCCTCAGCTCCAGGGGGACTTGGGAATGATGCTGACAGCAAATCCCATGGATTGGGTGGCCAGGAGCAGCTCAGATTGAGGGGCTGGTGTTGGGGGGTGGTTGTGCTGCTCAAACTCTGATCCTGGGCTGTTCCTGGGCTCCAGCAGCATCTGGATGCTTGGAAGGGGAATGAAGGTGCTGGGATGTCTGGAAAATACCCAAGGCATGGTTTGGGGATGGGGTCAGGGATGTGCAGTGTTTCACAGCCCTGAACCAACCAAGGTACTCAGAAAAATCAAAAGTGGGGTTATTTGCAGGTGGGGATTAGGGAAAATCTCACCTTTAGCCATGGCTGTGTTCAGCAGGCAGCTCTGCAGAGCAGCAGCTGTTTTGTGCAGCTTAACAGCAATTTCCTCCTTTTCCATGAAGGAAAAAGGGCAGAGTAATTCCAGTAAAACCCCTCCTGTGGGCTCCTGGTCTGGAATTGCATCCCAGTGGTGGGAGTGTAAGGAGAGATTGCTGGTGCAGAGCACCTGGGCTGGCTCCCCATTGCAGAATTGCAGCTGCACTGCTGGGTTGGGGTTGGGACTGTCCTGGGAACAGGCAGGGAAGCACTGGAGTGGGCTGGGGTCACTGCTGGGGCTCCTCAGCTGAGCAGGGGAGATGTTCTGTCCTTCCAGCCCCATTCCTGTGGGTTTGACCTCCACAGGAGCCTGGGAAGCTCCTGGAACCTCACTGCACAGATCCTACTCCCTTTTCTCTAAAGAATCATATTTTGTGTGGTTATTACTCTTCATAATTCATTGACAAGTTTAATTGCTTTCAGCAATGACATAGTTTTTCTCCCTCGTGCCCATCCTGGCAGGTGATTTTGTTCAACACGTGTTTTCCAAAGGTTTTGTGTATTTCTGAATCAGTAAGAAGGAATTCCAGTATGTTATGGGCAGAAAAAAAAAATTCCTGGAGTCCTGACTCCATGCCTGCTCCTTGATTAAAATGTGAATGCTCTCCTTTGGAGCCTGAGGCATTCTTGGGAGCTCTCCTCACAAAGCAGGAGATGAATCTGTACCCTGGTTTTCATACATTAACTCATAACAGCATTCTCAGCTGCCTGATTCCAAGGAGACCTCCCAGAAATAAATACTTCCCCTTTTGTTCCAGACTTCACACAGCTCTTTTGAAAGCAGCAGAGTGGAGCTGGTTCTCCCATTCATGCAGCACTGAAAGCCAGCCCCAGCTTTGGGGAAAACTTCAAGCTCTGCATTTTCTTCTGCTTTCAGCCTCCTGGCTTGGAGGGAGGGGAATATTAATGCAAATTTTAATTGGAATATAAGTGCAGGCTTTTAAATGCGTTGCTGTTGAGGAGAGCTCTGTCTCTGGCTGGCTCAGGAATGCAGCAGGAGAGGCTCTTCACCCTCCTCTCTGAGCTCCTGTGTTTGTCTACAGCCAAGGGATGGCTTTTTCCTTCTTCCCAGCTGCTCAGTGGATCACTGGGGAGAATTCTCCTCATCTTTTCCACCCAGAGAATGGCTGTTGCCAGGCAGAGGGAAGGCCCATCCAGATGCTCTCTCTTCACGTGTTTCATGTGCTGAAAACAAGGAAAGGGAGGCAGAGAGAGGGAAAGGCAGGATAAACCTTTAGGATAAAATCCTGATTTCCTGGCCAGGTACCTGTGACACCTCTCTGGTCATTGTACCTTTGCCTCCTGCATCCCCAGCTCCTTTCAGCTCCTTTGGGCTTTCCAAATGCAGCCTAACAAAGCTGGGGAAGGGGATTTTCTCTTGGAGAAAGGAGAAAATGCTATTATTTGAAAGTTCCAAGAACTTTTCTTCTGGAGGTGTTTCATGGCTGTTATTTCTTAATCTTGGAGCAACCTCCAGCTACCAGAATTTGTTCCTGGGGCTGCAGTCCCTGGGGATGAGGCAGTTTTGTTTGAACTGGTTCCCAACTCCAACGTGGAGCTGAGGAGTAGAAGGGAAGGTGGAGATGGCTGGAAGAAATCTGTAGGATTTATTCTGAAAAGTTCATTTGTGAGATTGTCCCTGGAGAGGGACTTTGGACAAGGGATGGAGTGACAGAATGAGGTGGAAGTGGCAGGGTTCATTTGGATATTGGGAAGAAATTCCTGGCTGTGAGAGTGGGCAGCCCCTGGCACAGGGTGCCCAGAGCAGCTGTGGCTGCCCCTGGATCCCTGGCAGTGGCCATGGCCAGGTTGGATGAGGTTTGGAGCAGCCTGGAGTTTTACAGCCACCTGGGATCTTCTGCCCTCACCTCGTGCAGGTGCTCTGGGGCCCTCCTGTAACCTGCCCTTGTTTTTCTCCTGTGGTTTTGCCCCAGGGTGGCTCTCAGTGTTTGAGCAGACTGGGAAATGCCAGACCCTGCAGGGCATGCCCCACCTGAAATGTCAGCTTTGTGTGTCTGTTCCAGGATGATGACTTGGAAGAAGGGGAAGTGAAAGACCCCAACGACAGGAAGGTGAGGCCACGGCCCACCTGCCGCTTCTTCATGAAAGGTAACATGCCCTGGGGTGTGGGAGGACCAAAGCTGCTGCACTTGTTCCAGTTTGGGCATTTTTGTTCTCCATTAAGCTGCTGTTACATGATAAACTCAGCCCCAGGCGTCCTCAGTGTCACCTTGCTGTTTGCTGGTGGCCAAAGCTGAATTTTCTTGGAGCCACTACACAAAAAGGGCTTTGCCCTCAGCGTGGTGAGCCTGGAGGAGGTAAATAAAGGGAGACTTGCAGGGGTTTTTGGAATAAAACACAGAGGTTGTGGCTGCCCCATGCAAGGCCAGACTGGTCAGGGCTTGGAGCAGCTTGGGAAAGTGGAAGGTGTTGGGATTGGAGCTGGGTGGGCTTTAAGGCCCTTCCAGCCCAAACCATCCCATGATTCTGCTCTCTGCCTCACCACTGTTTGTTTGGGATGCGCTGTGGTGCTCGCTTTGCCCTCAGGTTTCCTGTGAAAGGCAAAGCTCCTAACTGGAAATGTTTGTCATTAACAAAGGAGGATCTCATAGGCTCATTCCTACATTTAATTAACAGTGTGTGTGTCCAGCCCTCCCTTCTCCCCACTGCAATAAGGTTCTTGTCCATTGATCCATCTGTGTCTGGATCTGTTTGTCCCCTCTGGCAGGTGGAGAGTGCCAACTCTCTCCCCATGTATGCACAAACAGGTAAATCCCAACCCAGCTGGAGAGGAGAAAAGTCACAAACCTCCAACAAAGTTCCTTCTTAGAGGGTTTTAAACGCCTGCTGGGGTGTTGGTGGCTGTGGGGCTGAGTGCTGCAGGGTGGGAGCAGGGGTCTAACAGCTGTGTGTTCCCACAGGGCACTGCACCTGGGGCATGAACTGTCGCTTCATCCACCCCGGAGTGAACGACAAGGGGAATTACTCCTTGATCTCCAAACCTGAGCCCTTCTCCCCCAACGGTGCCCCTCCCATGGGCCCTCACCCGCTGATGCCAGCCAACCCCTGGGTATGGAACCTCTCCTGGCCATTGATGGCTTCTGCACCACCCTCCCCATCCCTGCAGTGTTCCAGGTGGGGTTTTGGAGAGACTGCTCTGGTGGGAAGTGTCCCTTCCACTGGAACCAGACCTAAACTGTTCCACAATCCTGGGATTTTCCTCTTTTTTGAGCTAATACCTCAGCAAAATTCAACCCACAGTTGGACATGTGATTTTTAAATGGAGATCTCGGAGTTGCCAGTAGAGGGGGGTAAAATTCCATGCTTTCCCAGCTTAATCCTGCAGGAGTAACTGAGGTAGCTTTACAAAGCACGGCTTTGCTGTTTAAAACTAACTCAAGTGTCTTCTCTTGCTCTCCTCACCCTTCCAACAGGGAGGCCCAGTGGTTGATGAAATCTTACCTCCACCTCCTCCTGACCCTCCAACAGAAAGTGCCTGGGAGAGGGGACTCCGGCATGCTAAAGAGGTAAATTCCTTCCTCAGGGAATTGCTGGCTGCCTCCAAAATCCGCTGGAAAAGCTCTTTTTGGAGCACAGGTGTCTTGCTCTTTCTCTATTCCTTTTGCCTTTTAATCTATTGGTTGTGTTTTGTTGTACATCACAATTGTTAGACAGCCAGGAGGAGCTCAGATCCAGGTTGGGGGGGGTTATATTCAAGAAATAGTGGGAATTTGTGGCCCTCAACAAAGCAAAGCTTTAAGCTGATCCAGTTTCCCTCCCTTCAGTACCTGTTTCTCCAGTTTGTGATCACTGCAGGGGGGAAACCTCTGTTTCCTGCTGTTCTGAGCTGGTGGAACAGGGAATTAATCAGGAAGAGTCCAGCATCCTGCACATTCTGAGGGAGGAAGGTGCTCTGGCTGCAGGAAATCTCCTGAGGGCAGGATTTTTAATATTAATTTCTTCCTGCCCCAGGAGCCTTCTCTCTTCACACTGTTTTTGTGCTCTTTAAAAAAGTATTAAAAAAAACCAAAAAACACCTGTCCTCACTTCTGCAGCCTGAAGGAAAATAAATTTCTAAAGTATTAATATTTTCCTGGGTTTCATTAAGTCTGGATCTTGGCCTTGTGTTCTGTCAGAGGCACCTGGGTTTACCCCCAGTGTTCTGGGAGCTGTTCATCCATTATCTCCATTTCATGACTGCCCTGTAAAATGCACCAGCAGTATTTTGGGCCTCTCTGATGTAGGAATTGTTAAGAGCAGGCCTGGTTTTCATATAGTCCACAAAAAAATGTATTGCACTTAACCAGTGTTAAACAAAAGTCATCCAACAACTGGAATTCCTGAAAATTGAAGGCTGTGTGAGCAGGCTGTGGCATTAAAATATCTTCATTGTGTGTGAAGGGAAAAGTTATGAATCTGCTGCTGTAAGCTGTAGAAAATGCTGATTTTTCTCCTCCCCACACACAAGTTGTTGCCCAGTTGGACACCTTGCAGCCAACTGAGCACTGGAAGTGCAGCTGGGATGTGGAAAATGCTTTCAGCACTGTCTTGTGACATGTGGAGTTGTCTCAGTAGTTCATGAATCCCTTTTTCTTTTTTGAATTAACTATAGGGAGGTGGACATCAAAGAAAACATTAACTATGGGTAAGCAGGTCTTTGATTCCAGTACTGTTACAATTGTAAGAAAATTTTCCTTTGCCTTTTTTTCCATTGCACTTCCTCCAACTTCCGAGGCCACAGACCAACCCCTGTCCCCTCAGCAGCTGACTCAGGGGATAGATTGGATTATTTTTGGGGTGATACCAATTATTTTCTAATGATTTAAGCACTGAATTACCCAAACACACAGCAGTGATCCTTTTTGAAATAAAAAAAACCTCCACCAATATTATAGGAAGGGGAAATTTGGGCTTGAGGCTGTGTGAAAAAGCAGAGTTTCCTTTCTGGCATGGCTTGAGCTGTTTTCCTGTCTCTTTGAACACCTGATGTCACTGAATCCAGGTTGCTTTGGAGTTGGCATCAGGAGTTTGTTGCTTACTGAAGCATCCCAAATCCTGTTTCTCCTTCCCTTGGCTTATTGCTTCAGTCCAAAAGAAAAATCCTAAATTATTTACAAGCACTAAAAAAAAGTACAGGTACCACTCACAAGGCAGCACCTACGTCTTAATCTGGTTTAGGTTATTTGGCACTGTAAAAATTCAAAAAGTGGCCCCTTTATTCTTCTTTTTTTATAAATCAGAGTGGAATTTGGGAGCACTTGCTGTGGAATCTTAGTTCTGCCACCGACTCCTCTGTGGCCCTGGAAGTTTCTTACTCCCTGTACTCCCTCCTCATCCTCACAGTGGATCTGATATTTGCACTCCAGGTGCTTGGATGTTGAGTTGGGGAATGAAAACCATCAAACAATGTAAATAGAAATCAGGAAATGGAGGAAGCAGCTTTAAGGAGGGTGGGGTTTCAATCCTTTTTCTCCCCAAAAATCCTTTGTTTTGAAGTTGTGTTTGTGCTCACCAGTCCACGGCTGATTCCCGCTGGAGGATATCAGCTGGAGAAGTGGTGCCTTCATTCCAGGGGGTAATTCCAGGTCCAGAGTGTTGCTGACCTGTCCCCAAAGCTCCACTGCTCCCTGTGGAAGCTCCTGTCCCGTACTGGTGGCAGCCATCACTCCAAGGGCAGGAACTGGGGGACTCCTGAAGGAGTTGGGGATGAGTGGGTGCATGGGCAGAAATCCCAACTCTCAATCCACGAGGCAGAACATGTCCTGCTCCCTTTGCAGGCACTGGAAAGGGCTCTCAAAAGCACTTTCTGTGTTTGCACCACATTGATTTGAAGGTTGGATTTTTGGTAGCTCTTTTTTTTGCTGTTTATCAAGAAAGGTTTGTGCTTTTCTCTGATAAGCCTCACTTTAAAAAGACTGTTTGGTTGGGCTGTGTAGAAAATAAACATCTCTGCACAGCCCTGCTGCGTTGAACGTGGTTTTCTTGTCACAGTGGCTGAGCTGACCTAGCACACACAGTTTTTGTGGTGCCAAGGTGCCTTTTCCCTCTCTAACATTCCCTGTTTTTCATTGTAGGCTTGATCCCTATGCAGATCCCTATTATGACTATGAAATAGAGCGCTTCTGGCGTGGTGGGCAGTATGAGAATTTCAGGGTTCAGTACACAGACCCCGACCCCTACCGTAACTACAGAGTAAGTAAGGAAATCTCCCTTCCCTCTTTTCCTTCCTGACTTTCTTCCAGGTTCTTCTGGGCCTTGGCACGGTTCCAGGGCAGTGCTTGAAACAGGAGTTTTCAAATAGTTCAGTCCTGTCTCAATCCCAGCACAGACACACTGGAGGTGAGGGGATGGAGGATGTTCTGTTCCAGCACCATGAGGGCAAAAGCAGTGCTGCAAGCTTGGGAGTGAGGCTGGGAAGCTGCCTGATGGAAAAGGACGTGGAGTGCTGGTTGACAGTGGCTGAGAAGGCCACTGGCACCTGGCTGGCACCAGCCCTGGCATGGCCACAGCCCCAGGGCAGGGACTGTCCCCTGTGCTGGGCACGGCTGAGGGTTCTGGTCAGGTTTGGGCCCCTCCAAGAGAGACCTGGAGGGGCTGGAGCATGTCCAGGGAAGGGAATGGAGCTGGGAAGGGGCTGGAGAGTCCTGAGGGAGTTGAAGGGGCTCAGCCTGGAGAAAAGGAGGCTCAGGGGGGCCCTCCTGGCTCTGCACAGCTCCTGCCAGGAGGGGACAGGTTCTGCTCCCAGGGTGCAGGGACAGGAGGAGAGGGAACGGCCTCAGGCTGGACCAGGAGAGAATTAGATTAGATTTTAGGAAAATTCTTCCATGGAAAGGGTGTGAAGCATTGGAAAAAACTGCCCAAGAAAGTGGTGGAGTTCCCCATCCCTGGAAGTGTTCAGAAAACCTGTGGATGTGGCACCTGGGGACATGGCCAGTGGTGAGCTTGGTGATGGTGCTGGCTGAGGGTTGCACTTGATGATCTGAAGGTCTTTTCCAGCCTTTACAATTCCATGTCTGAGATGGGAAGGTGCTTCCTCCTCATGCTCCTTGGCTGCTCCTCAGTGTAGCAGATGAGCAGTGCTTGCCCATCCTTGGGTATCTTGGAGAGGGAAGGAGTTTCCAGGAAAGATCTTGGTTGAGAAAAGAGTTCCTTGTTCATTCTTGGGAAGGAGAAGGTTAGATTTGGGCAGGTGTGCTCTGTGTAGCAGCAGAGGCTCCAGCCTGGCTGTGCAAACATCAGGATTGAGGCACAGGACAGCAGCAGCCAGGTGCTGAAATCCCAGCAGTTGTGTTCCACCAGGAATGGATCTGGATGAGAACTTCAGAAAGGCTCCGAACCCTTTCCCTGCTCTTCCTTTCCCCTCATGCAAACTTTGTCCCTCTGGAGCAGTGACCAAACCACCCAGTGCTGCTCAGGGGGAGCTTTTCAGTGCTTTCCAGCAAATCCTTTCAAGAGTACCTTTTCCTTTGCTCTAAATCCTTGTTTTCTGCAGGACAGGAGCCTGGGCCTCACTATGGCCACACATGACCAATTATTTTCCTGGTGCTCATTTGCAAAATTAATTACCTGCTTATAGAAATGATCAGCAACAAGAGGAAAGACTCGTAAACATCAATACATTTATTAAATAAGCTTCATAAACCAAATTAATCCAAGTGTTGCCTTTGAAAACAACAGTTGTGTGGGATGTGATGCTGTGTTTGTATCCAGGTTCTGCTCAGCAGGACCCAGATTATTGATCTCCAGATTATTGATCTCCTGTCACTGGTTTGCAGAATATTGATCTCGATCCTTTGCTGAGGGAGGGCAGATGTAATTCCTGCCATTCCCAGGATTGATCTGGAATTGTAATTCCTGCCATTCCCAGGATTGATCTGGAATTGTAATTCCTGGCATTCCCATTCATTGATCTCCAAATTATTGATCTCCATGTCATTGGTTTGCAGAATATGTAATTCCTGCCATTCCCAGGCCCGCCACCCTCTTTTCTGGGAACTGCTCCCACATCATCAGCGTGGCTTCTCTGTTGTTTTTTTCAAGGAAAGAGAGCGAGAACGGGAGCGGGAGAGAGAGAGCAGACAGCGGGAGCGGGAACGGGAGCGGGAGCGCGAGCGGGAGCGCGAGCGGCGGCAGCGGGAGCGCGAGCGGGAGCGGGAACGGGAGCGCGACAAGGAGCGGCAGCGGCGGAAGGAAGAGTGGGAACGGGAGCGGGAACGAGTGAAGAGGGACGAGAAGGACAGGCAGCACAGGGACCGCGACAGGGACCGCGACAGGGAGCGGGAGCGCGACAAGGACAAGGACAAGGCAAAGCCGCGGTCCCCGCTGCTGCCCAGGTAAGTGCGGCCGGCACTGGGGTCCTCACTGGTGGGGGTCAGTGAAGCGTGTGGTAATGGTAAAGGTGGGTGCAATGCTGGAAGTGCTGAAACCTTCAGAAAATAGTGGGAGTTGGTTAAGCACCTCAGAGGATTCGCCACGAGGTCCGGATTCTCTTTTGAAATTAAGGAGGGTATGAATTGGCAGACTTCAGTTTGAGTATTGTCTGTAATACTAATATTGAAAGAGATTTTTCCTTTTGAAAGCGGGATAATTAAGATGTTTTCAATTTCAGTAATATATTTCAATAATCTTAATGGCATGAAGCTGTGTCAAGTGACGTTTACGGTGGATATTAGCAAAAGCTTCTTCACTCAGAGCACACTTAGGCGCTGCAACAGGTTCTCCATGGAAGTGGTCACAGCACCAAACCTGACAGAGTCCAAGAAGCATCTGGGCAGTGTTGTTGTTGTGATCCCGGTGTGTGTAACTGCTGAGGACAGTTGTAGTTAATGAGCCTTGTGGCCACTGAGTGGAGCTAAAACATCAGTGACAATGAGAGTACATATCCTGACCCTGAAAGCAGGAGTGCCCTTTGGTGTGGAGATGGTCAGATCCTCCCTCTTCCCTTCAGGCTGGAGGGGTTTTGGGAGGACTCCTGCAGGTCGGTTCCCTGGGGGGCCTGTGGTGACTCCTTTGAGGCCTTGAGAAATGTCTGTCACAAGAACCAGGGCTGCTTCGGGAGTTTGTGGATAGCAAAAGTATCTGGAGATTTAAGTACAACTTGAAAAAGGAAAGGAGTTGTCCTTGGAATGAGTCTCTGCTCAGTGGAATTGCAGCATGAGGTCAGGTTTGTTTCCTCTGACCACCCGTTTGTGGAAATCCTGGTTGTGACCTGTGTGAAAGAGAAAATGGAACCAGACAGACTGAAAGTGCAGCAATGTGATTCCTGTTTTGTTCCTCTGTCAGTGATTTATGTACCTTGCCTTCCCAGCCTCCTCTGGCTGAGGCACATTTTGGAGCACTGGATAAATATCCCAGTGGGATGGAAGCTCTGATGTCACAATCTCATTTGGTTCAGAATCATGGAAAAGTATCACATTTTTTGCAGAGGGACATCTTGAAGCAACCTGATCTAGTGGAAGGTGGGCAGGGGGATGAAATGAGATGGACTTCAATGTCCTTCTCAACCCAGCCCATCCCATGACTTTGGGATCTCCAGGAAAACTGCTGAAGAGTTTCTTGGGAAGAGTGGCAGACAGAGACTCCCACAGCGTGTGGAGCACCCTGGGGACACACAGGCATGTGTGGGGCGCAGAGAAGTGCAGGGAAGCTGTTTCCCAAGATTCACTGGAGCTTTTCCTGCTGCCTGGTGTCTGTGCTGTTCCTCTGCACTGGAGGAAGGTGTGAAACACGATGGGCATGAGGAAGAGTTGGATCAGTGAAGAGCAGGGCTAGGAATGCCAGGAATGAGGCTGCACGTGGAATGAGCTGGTTTCACGTGGGAGCAGGGCTTAGTCCTGAATCCAACCCAGAATTTTTACCTGCAGTACTGAAAGGGTAGCTGGTTTTTGTCCCTCTTTCCCAAGAGGAAGTGACAGTTTCAGAACGGTCTGGAGGAGCAGCAGTAGCTGCAGAGCAGTTATAGGAATACCATAATTACATGTTCCGTTTAATTATAATCTTCACTTAACGACCACGATTTGTGCACCTTAATTACCACGTTGCCCGGTGGTTTGTGCTCTCCTTGGCTTGGTGATGGGACAGATCTTGTCCAGACCCATGTGATGGAGATGATGTCAATGAAAGTGATGTCACCTGCTTGGCAGCTCAAGGTCATGAGTCAGTGACAGTCATTGTGACCCAGGGATGAGCCTGCTGGCTGCTCCTTCCCCTGGCACTCCTGCAGTCCTGGGGCAGGGCTCTCTTGGGAGAACCTGGACTGCCAGTGCTGCCCAAAGAGTGCTGGGTAGGAGCAGTGGCTGTGCTCACCAATCTTGGATCCCTCTCATTCTGTGAAACCACGTGAGAACCCAGAGATGGGATTGACAGCATTCAGGGGGTGCACATGCCCTGCTTCCCTCTGGCACCAGGGAGCTGGCTATGCCTCTTGTGTCTCCAAAACTCCTTGAGATGAGTCTTGGTCATTCAAAAATAGTTTCTGATGCACCTCTTTGGTTTTTTTAAGTCTGCTATGGAGACAGAGTTTTCAAAGGGCATGGAGTGACAGGGCAAGAGGGAATGGCCTTAAGTTCAAGGGAGTGCAGGGGTAGATGAGATATTGGGAAAGAATTCTTCCCTGTGAGGGTGGTGAGGCCCTGGCACAGGTTGCCCACGTTGGAAGGGACCCTAAAGCCCATCCCATCCCCTGCCATAGGATTTCAGCTCCCATGGTGGACATCCATGTCAACATGACCCCATCCCACAGCTCTGCAGGTGTCTGGTGGAGAAAACAAACCTGCAGAAAGAAGTTTTGAAAAAGCTTTTTAACAAGCGAAAGCGTAATTCCAGCTTCTCCCTCGGAGGCCACATCCCTCATCCGTCACTTGGCGTGTGCCCAGGAGTCCCCGTCACGCTCGTGCTGTGACCTGGCTCTGGCCTGTGTCCCACGTCACTTTGTGACCAGCTCCCAGCTTCCTCATGGCAGTGCAGTGGCTCGAGCCGTCTCACCTTTCCTCCAGATTGCTCCGTGCCAGCTCCAGAGGGGCAGCTTTGGCATCCTGGGATTGAGCAGCTCCCGAGCGCGTTGAACGTGTCAAACCCGGGATTGCTCCGTGCTTCCTGGGAGCAGGATGCACAGCAGTGCCACAGCACACACCGGGGGCTCTGCTGCCTCTGTTTATAGACTCTGGGCTTTCCCTCATTGCTGCATCCCAGCTTTTGGCAGGTCCAGCCTCCCTGGGCTGGCTCACGCCACGGCTGCCCGTTAGTATTCCTGCCACTTCCAGGGCCCACGCGCCGGGAGAGCTCCTCCACGGGGCCGGGAGAGCTCCTTCACGGGGCCAGGAGAGCTCCTCCACAGAGGTTGGAGAGCTCCTCCACGGGGCCAGGAGAGCTCCTCCGCGGGGCCGGGAGAGCTCCTCCACGGGGCCTGGAGAATTTCTCCATAGAGGGATTGGAGAGCTCCTCCACGGGGCCGGGAGAGCTCCTCCACAGGGCTGGGATTGCTCCTCCACAGGGATTGGAGAGCTCCTCCACAGAGGTTGGAGAACTGCTCCTCAGAGGTTGTGCAAGCAGCCCTGAGCTTTGCCCAAGGCAGAGCTGAGGGTGTCAGTAATTCTGGTCACTCTCTTGGTGTAGGAGCTCCTGCAGGAGCTGGAGGAAGGAACAAACCAGGACCTACAGAATTAAGGGATGAGAGAACCCAAAGAGCAAACAGCCAGGAATACAGGAATAAATTGCCTTTCCATTCTGCTGAAAGCAGGAAGGTTTAACCTGATATCTAAAAAACAGAGGAGTTTAAGGGTAAAAATGTGGAGAAGCCAGAGTTTTTCCCAGCATTGCTGGGTGATGGAGCTGAGGAGGAATAGAATTTAACCAAGATTTAAACCCTGATGCATTCAGGGACAAGTGTTTCTCCTTGAACCATTGGAAAGAACAGGCTGCAGTGTTTGGGCTCCAATGAGATTATCACATGTGGATTGGCCTTTTTTGAAGGAATTCACAAAAGTGTCTTCCAGTACCTGTTGGGAGCCACCAAGAAAGAGAGAGGGACTTTGAACAAGAGCATGGAGGGACAGGACAAAGGGGAGATGGATTCAAACTGGTAGAGAGGAGGCTTAGATTGTATTGTGGGATGAAATTCTTCCCTGTGAGGGTGGGCAGGCCCTGGCACAGGGTGCCCAGAGAAGTTGTGGGTGCCCCTGGATCCCTGGAACTGTTCAAGGCCAGGCTGGAGCACCCTGGGCTAGAGGAAGGTGTCCCTGCCCATGGCAGGGGGTTGAATGAGATGAGATTTAAAGATCCATTCCAACCCAAACCATTCCATGGTTCTGTGAATGTGCAGTTGCTGTTTTAAGCTTTGGGTTGGGTTTTTTTTCCCAAGCTTAAGATGAGCACTCCAAGGAGTTTAAAATCTGAGATTGCACTGCTGGTAAAACTGTTCCTCCCCCTCCTCCTCCTCCTCCCTCCTCAGGCATCGAACACTCAGACAAGCCAGGACACTTTATGATCAATTAGAGGGATAACTTGGCTGTCTGTCCTCCTGCTCCCATCTCCAGAACGAGTTCTGATGCCCCAGGCTGGGCCTGATTTTTGCTGAGTGCAAAATTCCTTTTTTTTTCTCTCCGTCTTGCCGGTGGAGCTCCCTGTTATGCAAAGGCTTTCAGGGATAAAGAAGTGACATGAAATATGTCCTCTGAAGAAACTGAGAGCAGTGCAAGATGTTCTGACCCTTAGCTGGGGGCAGAGGCTCTACACACTGAAATAATTTGCTTTAATCCCTTCTGTTGTTGCCATAGGCTTTATCCCAGCAGCATCTGAGGGAATCTGTTTGTTCCAGGAGCTCATGAAGCAACCCAGTGTTGTGGGGCCTGGTGGTGGCTGTATTCCCAAAGCACTGAGGGACACTCAGGAGAGCATTCCCAAGGGGCAGCGCTGGCACTGATATCCCTGTGACAGGGACAGGACCCAGGGAAGGGCTGGAGCTGTGTCAGGGCAGGTTTAGGTGGATATCAGGAAAGGTTCTTCCCCCAGAGGGTGCTGGCACTGCCCAGGTTCCCCAGGGAATGGGCACGGCCCCAGAGCTCCAGGAGAGGTTGGATACCACTCCCAGGGATGCCCAGGGTGGGATTGTTGGGGGGTCTGTGTAGGAGTTGGACCCACCAGACAGAGAAGGAACCTCAATTTTTCTGCCCCCTCAGCTGGGGTGGCACTTGGTGTTGTTGATCAAGCAAGGAGGAGGAAGGTCCACGAGATGGACATCGGTTTCTTTCCCACCTGGATTTCCTCTCCAAGGAATGCTGGGGCTTCTGGTGGGGAGCAGCATGGCAAAATGAACCTTGGAGTGAGACATTGTCAT